GATCCGCAGTTATTGGCTCCGCAATCTGTTGTGGTGTCCCTGCCCCAACTAGGGGTAAAAGCTAATGAATTCAATTTAAATTTCTTTTCAGCAACCTCTCTAGAAACTGCCGCATCAAAAGAGGCTTACTTTACTACTTTAATTTCTCATATTCGTGTAGAACAAAAGAAACAAATAGAGGTTATAAGCTGAACGGCGCAGAGGTCATGGCGTCATAAATGAATAATTATTGGATAAATGAATGAGTGAATGGATGGATGGATGAAAGAATTGGAGGATGGGTGAATGAATGAGATGATGGTCAGCATGACGGTGAATTGAGATCTTAACGATATGAAGCACACATAAACCGAAATCTATAATTGAGGATTTTATTTTGGTTTTGATTGTGTCGTGTAGTGTAGTTTTTTTACATTCTTAGCGGCATTTCCAGTACAAACAGTCTTTAAACAGGGACCGCGGAGCGTGAATTTGTTTGTGGGGGGAAACTAGCGGCGACGAAGTACTAGGGGGATTCGGAAATTTTTGAAATCTTAACTCTCGGAAGTGTCATTTCCAGCATTTTGAGGCGTTATCCAAGACATTTTTACCGCACACGCGGTCAGCGATATTATCAATAAAATCCCAAAGATTTCGCAAAAATTAAAGCTTCAATTTTAATTGTTCACGCGCTTAGTTTTTACACAATTTTTATAGAGTATGTATGATGGAATTTCATAAGGAGGCTCTTCGCTTCTTTATTTAAGAAAATTCAAAATGTCGGTCAGAATTATTGGGGGGGGGCTGTAGCCCCCCAGCCCCCCCTGCTCCGCGGTCCATGTTAAACATATAGCTTTATATGATTGTCGTAAGAAGTGATCTTGATTTAAGCATAGCAATAGTTCTTATAGCAGTATACGGAGTCATGGTCAGGAAATTTGTTTCTGCATTCGTTATTGTCTTTACATGTAATGTCTACTCGCCTCCACCATGGGGCCGGGTCATCAACTTTCGCTTTGCCTTTTGACTGAATCTGAATATAAATAAATAGATGTTTAATTAAAAAACGATATGGACGACGTCGATGGYGATGGAAAATGGAAGTAAATKRCAGTGAATTTATCTTTGTAAGGCACGAAAAAATCCTATTTTATTCTGACCGATGGAATGACTACCTTAAACCTACCCTTACATCTTTAGCTGTACTTTCAGAGTGGCTTGAATGAAAATGTTCCATGAAAAGTGCTATGACAAAACAAACTTTAATGGAGCAATTCATAGCTATTCGGAAACTGAAAAAAAAATGACAATGCAAATATGGACGAGCTTCTTAGAAAATTTAAAACGACTAAGCCTGAAAAAGAAAAAACTATACAAAAAATTTTTGCTAGTCTGAAAAACTAGTATCATCATACTATAGTTCAAGAAAGGGAAGTTTGATTTATGATTTATCAATAAATGGTCTGATACTATCTTATAAAGGTTTGCTAAGTAAGTAAATGAACTATATTTTTACACTGAGAAAATTTCATAATGTTTAACCAGCAATTTTAAAATATTTCAACACATCCTACCTTGCCGAGCTGGGTTCACTTCAAGTTTAAACATTGGCCACCCAAACATTGCTTGAGAGAAAGAAAACGACGAATGCGAACGCTTTTATTAAGTTATCACATCGGCGCGCGGTCTTAACAAAATGCGGGTTACCTGTGGTATTACGTCAATGATCCCTTGCCTCGCGGGATCAAATCCTAGTTTGTGACAAGGTATGAAACACTGGTCACGTGACAAATWTAATTTTGCTCTATTTTGCCGAAAAACAGCAAAAACGACGATTTTCTTTCAAATAACAACACGTCGTCCGATTTCCTAAATACCTCATGATTCTTTCCTGTGTGAAATGTTTATTASATGATSASAAAATGAAAGGAAAAGAAATTAAAGCTRCACACTGGCAAAATGTACTATAAACAAAAACAAATTAAAAAGTTTTAAAACATGGAAACTTTTCCAGGTCTTCAAGGTTCAGAAAAAGAAACATTAAATGAGCTTAGTTAAGTTATATATAACACTACTGAAAAGCTTTCACTCAAAAGCTTTACASTTTCAAAGTAACAAATATACATGATTTTGAACATGTTAATTATAAAATTAGACAAATTCTTCCTAATAAATCAGATAAATAGCGAAACCAAAAAGCGTAAGCTTATACTACTCACTCGAGTTTTCCGGCATTTAAAAATCCCAAATAATTATATTTTAGCCGTCGGTTTTCACTAACGCAAAATCAGTAAGCTTATAGATTTCATACAATCTGAAGTGCCTGGCCAAAGCTATTATTAAAGATATATTTCTTTTTCAACTACTGTATCCATTAGCTAGCTTGATTCTTGCGCATAAACTGATAACTCTAAAACCTGTAAAAATCCACGACGTCTATATCTGCTTCGGTTTTCAAGTGTCTTGAATAACATGTTTTCTCTTAAACTAATTCATGGTTCCGACAAATCAAGCGCTCGCGGCCTGACACAGTCTTCCGACGATTTGTCGATAAAATTGTCGATAATATTTTTGTTTCTTTCACGTTAAAAACATTGAAGTCTTTTTGAGAAAGTCCTAGAGAAATTATTTAATTATTATGCGTTATCATTTAGCATTTGTGCTTTTGTCCACACATCTTCGGATCCATTTCAAGCATTTTTCTAGATTAGTTTTTGACTTAGGGAACAGAACGAATCTTCCTCCATTTAACCTGGCAGTGTAGCGCGCATCTGCTTTACAAGTGCTCCAGCAACACCTCAAAATCATCGCAACTTCTCCCTCTGTTTACATTTTTTGTGTGACAACATACATAGGGAACAGAACGAATCTTCCTCCATTTAACCTGGCAGTGTAGCGCGCATCTGCTTTACAAGTGCTCCAGCAACACCTCAAAATCATCGCAACTTCTCCCTCTGTTTACATTTTTTGTGTGACAACATACATTTGCCATTACGTGTCCTCTATTCTGATTGTCCAATCCCGCGCGCGCGAATGACGCGTTTGATATGTCGGAACTATGAATTACTTCTTACAATGCACTACTGTCCCTGCTTTTGCACAAAGCCTTTAAGTTCCAAAATATTGATATGTAGGTTTTTTAACAGAAAMTACAAGGAAAACAACAAAATCTATGACTCCTAACGCAATGTGCCTTTGTACATCTGTCAACTAATAACTTACCACTGCAGAAATGCTGGTTTCATCGAGCCAGTTGATTTTCTTGTGCCGTGAGCTCTCCTGAGGCAAGTAAAATTCGTGTCAAAATCGCCATGTTGCCACTGTGTACGAGAAAGTACTGTACAAAAGAGGCGGCGGGAGCCTGGACACTAATGCAAAAATCCAACGTGCCGGGAGGTCATGTCTGCGAAATTAATTCAGTCTTTGTTTTTCTTCAACCATTTACAGGTTCGAACGTGCCAAATGTCCTTCGAATGTGTGCATGGAAAAGCCCGCATATCGCATTTACGAAATTCACACTCCATGATGGATTATATGTTTTTGTTTTTGTTGTTGTTGTTGTTGTTGTTGTTGTTGTTTTTTGTTTTTGTTTTTTTCCTTTTTGCCTCTTTATTATTTGTTGTTTTTGTTCTTTCGCTCCTGTTTATTTTATTTCTTCTTTGCTTTGTTTATTTTTCTCTTATAATCTTAAAAATCTCGAATTGTGAAATATTAAATCATAAAAATTACGTTCAAGAGTTATGTAATTTCATAATCATATGTACACAGTTGTAAAATGTCAAAATAGTTTAGAAAATAGCAGGAGTATAATTTCGTAAATAATTGGTTAATGTAAAACAAATATAGTGTAATGTAATGTTGTAATATGTTTATAGTGTAAAAAAAAGACTTATGATATCCATCATTGAGCACATACGTTATTAACGATAGCTAAAAGCTATAAAATGTGTTGTTTCTCAGTAACAATAGAATTATGTATTGCTCTTTAAGCGTATTACAAAAGACATTGTTACATCATATATGTTCTACAATGTGGTTATGCAACCATGGCTAGGTAATGAAGCACCTTTTGTTATCTGTTCCACGGGCCGCACGTCGCATAATTTTTGCATTTAGTTAGTGTCCATGCACTAAGAACAAGCTTGAGATGGCTAACTTTAGAAAACCMAAAAAATAAACGTGAAGAAGAACATTGGTTGCAGGATACTGTGCCATCTAATACTAAAAATAACACAAAATGGAGAGTGTCAAAATGTTTCAAGAGAGTGGCAAGGAGCGAGAGTAAATAAATTAGCAGCAAGCGAGAGCGTTGGCTTTGCGCGTGCTATGGATAATATTCAAGATCTTGACACGGAGCTCAAAGATATGACTCCAGCTACGTTAAACTTTTGGTTGACAAAGTTCGTCGGAGAGGTTGCCAACAAGAGTGGYGGACGATATCCACCTAAATCTCTATATGTGATTGTCTCCGGCATTAATAGACATCTCCAAAACGTTAATGCAGAAAAACCATTTAACTTTCTCAACAAAAATGATCKAAGGTAATTATATTTTACATTCTTGTAACTAACAGTTACACTAAACTAACGTACCATRTAAGTATTGAAAAATYGAGTAGTTACAATTTTGATGTTTCAGTTGAAATGCTAGCTAGTGTACCTAATAGTTTTTTGAGTAATTCTGCGACAAATGCAATTTTCAACAACTGTAATGCTAACTTCAACTTTAATTTTAAGTAACTTGCTAAAATTACTTAGATAATATCTAATAAAGTTATAATGTGGGCATTGTAAATAGTTGCAATTTTGAGTATTCATTTTACTAGATCGATATCTATTAGTATTCTGTATTTTTTATAGTTATATTTTACATAATTGTAACTACCAGTTACACTAAACTAACGTACCATGTAAGTATGGAAAAACCGCGWGGAGCTCAAATATGTCTGGAATGTTAAAAGTAATTTGTGACTTCAATTCTTTGGTGAACTTAAGACAAGTATCACAATATTGTTTAAGCATGATGAGAGCTGAAATGAAGACGGCTTTTATGAGATTGCTTACAACAGTGCAAACTCTCCATATGTAATTTAGGTGCTCAGGATTTTATTGAATAGATTCTAAATACTAATCGGGAAATCTCACTTCACTGCCGTCCTTTGCGAGACGACGTATGTATATCTTCAGTTTATCTGTTCCAATTCGATTTTAATTTGCTTTTCGTCCGTAACACTTTTCCTTTGACGAAATGTTGAAAGACTGGTGACTTGGCTTTGCATGCTGTTTACTGTCGAAAACAATATAAGCATYAGTCACCTTGCAGCTGGCAGTCACTTTCCACATCAACCTTAAATCAATCAGCTACTTCTCAAAATGATGAATGGAAAGATCAGGTTGTAGTGGGTGTCAACGTTTTAGTCTCTAAATTCAGCACTTCAAAAATGACAGCAAATGTGAAATCTAATTTTAAATTTTTCTAAGGAAATTTGATGGAACTAATAAAAGTGGAGAATAGGCCTTGCTCTATCATCCTAATTGTACATGCATTTCTTTCGGTAAAAGTTGATTTRCTGATTTTGAAACAAGCAATTTAATATAACACCTATATAATATATATACAATAAATTCAATACAATATTTTTCCAACCTGATACTTGTTTTGTAAACCTTCTGGATGTCAGTTGATGAAATGCTTTCTTTGCTTGTGGAGTAGCAAATGTGTACATGACAGGATTGATKGAGGAATTCACTGGAAGAACAAAAACAGCAATCACAGCATACACTTGTCCTGTTGGATCCTGAAATTGACCGACGAGAGACAGAACACCAAGCACAATTACTGGCATCCAACAGAAAAAGTCAGTCAGGACAATGAACATAATTCGTGTCCCCAAAGACGAWGGCTCTCTAGCTGACTGCACACTTCTGGCAGACTGTTGGACCTTAATGAATATTGCTACATAACCAACTAGAATAAAGGCAAAAGCCGCACCATTAAAGCCCATAAAAATAGCGACGGAGTACTCCCACCCTGCAGGTTTATCAGAGGAAAGCTGAAAAGGGAGGCAAACTGTTGACCGTCCATAGAAGGAAACTCCAGTTGTTTCATCGTGGAAGTAGCTGGATGCAAGCAATGGACTGAAAGCAATGGCTATTCCTATGATCCAAACGAAAAAACAAACAAAACGAGCAGTTTTTAGGTTGAGGCGTTTTCCTTTGAAGTCAAAAACGATGGTACTAAATCGATCTGCGGTTAAGACAACTAGCATCAATACCGAGACTTCGCTGGAGAGAGTCGAGATGGCTCCTGCTATTTGACAAGACACACCAGATCGCCATTCGACGTCATGATCCACGTATTCCCCTTTCCACTTTGCATCYTGTATCGCTATGAAAAGCAAGTAGATGCCCATAAGGAAGTCAGCTARAGCCAAATTTCTTAAGAGCAACGACTGCACATTCGATTTGCTCCTGTTCAAATTTGAAGACTTTTTCCTATTTAATACCGTCCACCATAATATGACAGCAAAGTTACCAAARGAAGCAAACAATCCCTGTATCCATATACCAACACGAATAACGGTACTTTTCAGCATATCCTCACAACTAGAAAACCCATTTGCTTGGGATTCACATGTCATTAGTGTAGGAATAGTCCTTTTGGCATAGCAGCACAGGATGAAACTGTCTAATTTCCTGAATGTRAATAAAAAATACCATACTTTTCTTAACATTATTTGATAGCCATGGCCAAAAGAAGAAACAGAGACGGTGGTTTGCGAAAAATGGTTTTCAAATTYATTTGAATACATGCGCTTAGCTTTTCCTACCGCATGTTTCTGGCCTTACAGATACACARGAGGCCTAAAGTGTCATCGTATAAGCATAAGCTACTTATGATTAAGAGTAAGTGTAAAGAAACGCGCTATAAACCCATGCCTGTAAATGTTGACACGCTGTTGTAATATATAGTACTTACAGGTATTTAAGGCTTTCCAATTCTGAAAAGGCATCACGYGGTACCTTAGATTCTATGATTGTGTTATTATAAAGCGTTCTGAAAGATGGAAAAATAATTTCGAGATCAAAGAAATGTGTTCTGATATTTGTAATATTCTTGAAAGGCATATACATTGAAAGTAATGTTTAAAGGCCGACAACGAGGACTTGACGGGGTTTCAAAATCCGCGCAATTAGTTCCAGTCCGAAGCGCTAGGACTGGAACTAATTGCAAGGACTTTGAAATCCCGCCAAGTCCGAATTGGAGGCCTTTGAACGACTTCTCATACTCATTAATTATTCGGGAGGGGTAAAAAGCGAAGGAAATACATATAACARAAATATATTGATTTATTGCATCTCCACTAAGGTTTTCAGTTTTCATAAGTTTAAATTCATGAAGCACCGTTTGTTGTTCTTCAATTCCCGGACGGCTTTCTGCAACAAAAGCTATTCAAATTGTCTTTGTCTGATATTTATGGCATTCCTATGTTCTCATACTCATTAATTATTCATGAGGTATCCAGCCAATCCCTGATTGTAATTTGTATCACGTGAAGTAACTTGAAACCAGAGGAAGTACTCGTAACTTTGTATTCTACCTTATTTCTAGTTACTTCTACCTTTTTCAAGTTACTTCTACATTATTTCCAGCTCATATCAAAGAATTGCCCCACAAAAGTTATCCTTCGTTTAGCAGCCATATATGGTAATCTTACC